CAACAAAGGAGTATAAGGTGAGAATGTTGGAGGAGAAATTGAATTAAACATAAATGGGGTTATAGAAGAAACAGCTGAATGTGGGAATGTGGACACTGATGATGTTTGAAGGACTTTAGATATGCAGCCAAAGCCATTTGGCAAAGGAGAGTGCATCGAAAATGAAAAAAGGAGTTGTTCCAAAAAGGATGAAAACATCCTAAAGGAAGTGACACCAGCACACTAAAGATACTCTCGGGATATTTTCAGACACCGAAAAGACAAAGGATCTAATGCTGGACGCTGATCTCAGCTTAGGCAGGAGTATGACCATCTGCCAAGGCATCCAAAGACTCTTGCTCAGCATTAGAAGTCATAGTATGAGAGGAAGGCAAGTTCAAACTACTCTTGATAAGTTTTTTTTTGGGGGGGGGTATATTTTTATTTAAAAGCTTAGATAGCTTTGATATTCTCCAAAATGTAGTTAATTTCCCTAGTTGGTTTTGGGGAGGGGGGGGAGGTTAAATTTTTATTTCAGAGGTAAGTTTTTTACAAAGAAAACTTTAACTGTGTTTCTAATTTTTAGATTACAGTGTACTAAGTAGCTTTAATCTCTTTTTATTTCTCCATACATTTCTAACCAATGTTTTAATGTTTGACAAAAAATTTTTAAAATCACGGAACAGTTGTAATTTTCTCATTAATGAAGTTGTTTTGCATGGTTTAACTCGCTTAATCATATTTATGTTTCCATAATATCATGCAAAGCAAGGACTGCCTGTATAGTGCGGTCATATATATTAGAACTTAAAATATAGTTTCATTATTTTAAATTATTATTTAGAGGCTCCTAAGTTGTAGCTTTGATTTTATGACACAGTGCCTGCCCGTATCTATGACAGATAGTCCACAAGTTATGTATCATGGCTACAGAAACCAAAATATTCCAAAAGAATGGTATTATAGGTAAAAAATAAATAAATAAACAAATAAATAAAATAAAATAATAAATAAAATAATAAAATAAAATAAAATAAAAAATAAATGAGGCTGCAGCATCAGAGAACTCGAGTCAAGCCTTGGAACCAACATTTACTTAGCTGTGTGACTCTGGGCAAGCTTCAGTTTAGTAATCTATAAGAGGAGCGCGAACTGTTATGATAATAACATTTTGATAATTAAGATAGTGAATTTAACGCCCAAGGTATTATGTTAGCCGTTACTGAATTTGGTAACTGTGGTCCAGTTCCCATGACCAGAATGATTCCACATGGCAAACACATCTGTTTTCACAAATTTGAATCTGTGCAAAAGCAACTCTTTCATTTCAGAGTCAGGATATATTTGAATACAAATCCTCTTAGCTGGGTTTCATTAGATATAAAATATTGTATCTTCACAGCTAAAGATGAATTGACTTATCCAGACTATTGGGCAATAATTTTAAGTAAAAAACCCAGGTAATTATGTAATATGACATTAGATGAAAAGCCAAGTCATTTGAACTTTTGATAAAGGGGGTGGAAAAATCTCCTCAATATTCTATTATTGGTATTACATATAATCTCAATGAAAATGGATTATTTGAGGAGTTTTGCTTTCTTTTTCTCTTGAAAATCAAATGAATTTGCTCTGAAGACTGTAAATATCATTTGATTAGTATATATGATTACAAAAGACAAAGCTACTTCCAAAACACCCTTTATTAGGAAAAGCCTTTAAATAAAATAGAATAAAATAAAATTAAAATTAAAATTGGACTAAAACAAAATGTACTGAATGTGTCTGAAGCTTGTTTTAGAGGCAAGCGTGTTATAATGAATGAGGTAATGCCTTTAGGAGAATTTCTTTCTGCACTTTGCCAACCCAGATTTAAAATAAACATTTTCTAAGCCTAAAAGAGTAAGTCTATCAGTTCCTTCATAACAGCATCTCCGGAAAACATCAACTAGAACATTGTCTCTTTTGAGTGCCTATGCTCCACATGCAGTGCTAATTTCCACACTCAATATATTTCTGGTGAAATCACTTGAATATGGAATGGTATCCAAATTTTACACACACGCACACACACTTTTTTCCCCCCCTAGACAATTAAGGTTGATCTGACCAAAAAAAAAAGAATTACTAAATTATGGATAATTTTGTAAAACTCCAGCATTATTTTTTCTCTCAGCTACTGGGGCTTAGAGTGTCTTAATTGTATTTGGATGTCAGAAAGCAGTGCTTAAACT